GAAGCTGTCCTTGCAAAATGCCCTGCTGTGTATTTAAAGCCATACCGTAGCAAGAGTAAATATTAGTTTCCAGAGACTCTCTTAAAAATACTTCAAATATTTGTACCATTGAATCTAAAATATCTGTGCATTTTACTTTGAATTAATTTTTATGCATCAGTTCAAAATCCTTAATGACCTATTCAACAATAAAACCCAAAAAGTTTTGTGTTTAATTAGCATGCCAGCTATTCCTTGCCTGAAGACAAAACTGCATTTCAAATATCTTTTCAGTTGTTAGCAATTGCTCTTACAAAGTTAATTTTCAACAGTTAAAGGAGGAAAAACTTGCCTAATTGAATTAGTTTATATTTCTATGCTGCAATAGAAAAAGTCAATTAAAGTAAACCACAGGTACTTGCCTAAATAAGGGAAACTATTTCTTTATGAAACTCCAGTGTTTGATATTTATCTGCTTATTGCTGACTGGTTTTATCTGATTAAGAGTTTGTTCTAACTCAACATTGCACAACTACTTCACCTTTTGTGCTTTGTAGACTTGGGATGCAGCTTTGGCACAGACTGCAAGGACATAGACAGATGGATGCATTTTTGAACATAACATATACTTAAGTAAGAAACATCTGTACCATCCTAGTTTCACATTGGAGAGAATATTTTTATTGGAGGTCATGAAGTTTTTGATGTTGCTGGTGCCATTAAGTTGGTATGGTGAGGTCAGATTTTTAATTTGTGTAGCGCAGAACTGTACTAAGGTTTGTGGTTGTTACATTCAAGTAAGAGTTGTCTGTGGTAAAATGTCCTGGGTAGTGCCTACCATGTAAATCAGTACCATCTGTAAATAACACAGGGGTGTCCACATGGGTGCCACTGGCACCTCACTGTCTTTTTTAACATCAAGCAATGACTGTACTGCCTTACCCCTGCACTGGCTCACCTCGGTACCTTGTACAATAATTCTCTCTTCTTGTCCACACATCGACCTCACTGAAAGCCTCACTTCTCATTTCACTGCATGATTGCTACATGAACGTTATAAAATAATGATTTCCAGTTCTCTAATTACCAAGCCACACAGTTCAGTATCCTATAATTCTGGAGTTGCTATTCAAAGTATTCACAGTAATTGCAGAATGTCTGTGGGTATTACTTAGTAAAAATGTCGATCGAAGGATAAAACCCAGCCAAAGTAATTTTTTTCCTTATTTAAATAATTCTTTAAAATAAATATTAAATATCTAAATATTAAATAATAATTTTAAATAATAAATTTATAATTCTCATAAAAAAGAAAATTAAAAAATCAACAACAAAATTTATTCTATTCCGATTTCTCAGTGGTAATTCACAGAAGCTTAATGCTGCTGAGAACGTAAAAGTTTCTTTTGAACACTTAATATTTTAAGTGTAGTTATTCATTCCCATCTTGAAAAAATAAGCTTTGCAGTAGAATCAGTTTTATCTATGAGCAAATACATGATATTTCACTAATCTAAAACAGATGATAATTTTAATGTCAAGTAGATCTTATCTAGTAAAAGTAGCTTTTAAATTTCTTATCTCAGTGTTCAAAGATGCTTAGACTGCTCTCCCTGTAAATTACAGATGAAAATACTCTGCCTACCACTGTGTTACCAGACACAATGGTATCTGTGAGATTCTTTTTTAGTAAGCTTTGGATTGTGAAGTGAAAATACCAATAGTTGCCAGAATCATTTATGGAGCATTTTCTTTTCAGTTCTTTTTGTCTTTTCTCACTTATTTCTCTAAAAGTGTTAATCATTGTTTTCTGCCCCTGGTTCTGCCTGTAACAAAACCAAAAACAAGGCTGTAGGATTTAAGTTTTGCTGTTTATTTGGCAGTAGATTTTTTAGAAGGCTAGAAGTAGACAGTATCATAGGGAAGTATTTTTCATTTTTTCTGTGACACAATAAATTATGAAAAGTAACCTAGCAAGGTAGTTTTTACATTTAAATAATTGCAATTCAACCTTGTCTGCATAGAATTCTGGAGGGTTTTGCACATTTCTCTTAGAGTGATGTTCACATCTGAACTTTCTTTCCCTTGATTGTTTACTCCTTTTCTGTCATACACAGTTAAGTCATATCAAAATGTTTATGCATTTCAGGCAACATTTCAGGGAAAATTACAAAGGAAACTAATCACTGGAAAAAACAAGCAGTGTACATGGGTTAAACACTGTGAACATGTAAAAATACCTGTGTCATCAGAATTGATAATCGAAGACCATGCATGATCCAAGAGCAGTTGTGTTTTTGAAGACTCAGACACAAAATTGAAAATGGGTAAAATTTATGACCCATAAATGGGTGGGCTGTGTAGACCTGTTAAGAGAGCCACAAAACTGGATTCTCAAGATGGTAGAAATCTCAAAAATGTATGTGAGGCTGATACATAAAGGCCTCTGAAATGCTAAGTCCTTAATGCAGTATTCAGGTAACATCACTTTAAATATTAAGATACTTTTTTAAAAAATGGTTATGTTTGATGAACACAACAGCCTCTTTCATTTATAATTGAAGAGATAAACTTGTGGGAACATTCGAGTCAGTGTGTCCACCTGAGGCCTGTACCCTTCCTACTGGACAGATACTCCCATACTGACTAAAGCTACTGTGTCTGCATGGCTTCCAGAAATGGAATGTATGATCATCCAGGTGTTCTAAGTATAGTATTAAACATTTTTACCTGAATTCAATAGTTTGGTTGGTCAAGTGCAGAAGGTGTTGGAAGAATCTCCTAAGAAAAAGCAGATGCCTAGACTGTAATGCCTGTCTTCTCTTAAGTTTGGCAGGTAAAACTCTTTGGTCAAAAAATATGCAGTGCCAAAGCTTTCACACTTTAAATTTACAGGAGTAGTCATCCAGATAACTTCAAAATTACAGCAAAACTATCTGTAGTCCAGCCACATACTAATGGTCTCTTCAATTAATTGTGAAACTGTTTACAGCCTCATTATTACAAAATAATTTTAGGATTGTTTAGCTTTTAGTGAACACAAAATGGTTCCTTACAGAATAATTCTTGTGGAAATTCAATACCACCACCGTCCTGTCCCGTAATCTGTTTTGTGCCCTGAGGTGCCATTGTGTAATAGCCGCAGCAATGCGTGTCAGGATATTGGTTTATTCAAAGGTCTGGAAGGCCAAGTGATCTTGCAGCTGCCTAATCCTGTGGCTAGAATAGGAAAACCCAGCAGATCCACCTCATTTGTTCAAATGAACCTAGTAAGTCAAGGTCAGACCTCCCCAACAAAAGGAACAATGCTGTGGGGAAGTTGATGAGTTGAGAACAAGATTAAATGTAATTTCACAGATTCCCAGGCGTCGTGGATATCTGTAATAGGCTGTAATTCACTAGTTTTTAGTCTTCTGACTAAATAGAACATTAGGGAAAAATTTAAAATCTGAGGTTTTATTTTTCCAGCCATTTTGAACTAAAAGCAGGTCAGAAGTGCAAAAGTGGGATGTAAGCATGGGGAATTTCTCAAAATCACGAGGCTGTAAATCTTCTGGCATGTACCCAGCTCATGGTGCTAAATTTCACTTGAGATCTGTGGATAGGCAATGGCTTGTATTGTTCAGACTGTGCTATCCAAATGTGCTATAATGCTATAATTTGCTATCCAAATCCCAAAACTTAATTGTCAAGATCCACTGATTAAGGCTGGCAAAAGTCTAAAACTCTCTTATTGGGAAAATATCATAGATGCTCGAGGGCAGGCTGAACTTCTGCTTTAATTATAGATAGAGTCACTAGATGGAGCCAGAAATGCAAGAAAGCATTTTATAACCTGGACTATCCTGGATCCATCAAAATTTCCTACTGCATAAAATCTCCATTTGTTTCCAGACACAGAATTTCAACTACATGCATATATAAGTGCAAGATCACAGTACAGTTAAATGGTGCAGTTTTAGTGTGATGGGTGTTTTCGTGCAAACTGCATGTAGTTGTAATATAATCATGGTTTTACATTAAACCTGACTGGCAAAACTAAGCAGAGAATGAGACCCATTAACATATTTTGCAATCTTTTTGCAACAAATTTTCCCTGTAAACCTACCTAAAACTGGGTTACAAGACCATAGCTCTTAAAAACATATGGTTCTTCTTATGCTCTTGCATATTTGTACAATTTGGCTTAGGTTTGAAAAAAAAAAAATCAGCCAACTTTTAGAACAGTTGGGGAGACACTACAAATGCCAACACATACCATCCTACTGCCCTGAGAAGTGATCAGACTTGGAATGTTATGCCAGGAGTACTAATCTTGTAGCTGCTGTCTAGGAGCACAGGAAGCTGCTTTAGTGATTTCAGGCTAGCAGGTAATAGCAAATAACTGAGGAGAGAATCAACACATACTCAAGCCTGGGATTTCCCAATTTTATTTTTTGTTACACACCAAACCAGGCCAGAATGTCTGCTCTGCATCAGGGTGCTGTTCAGGAACCATTTTTTTCTTCCTGCTGAAGCACAGATATCCTAATTCTGTTTATTTCTTGAGTAATTCTGATATGGAAGCGATGTCCTGCAGCATAATTGTAACTAAGCTGGTATGACTAAGCAATACTATTGGAAAATCAGCTGAATAGCAGATTTCTGTTTTCTCAAAGGTGCATTTTTTATGATTAATGCAGGTTTCAAGAAAGCTGTTCAGCAGCATCTCTTCAGATAAGAAAAAAATCCCAGAATGGTTTGGCAGTCACCCAGGATGGAGCACACCCAAAGAAAAGACAGAAGTATGCTTGGAGTGTTGCTCCTTGCTGATATGCATGGCAGGTTTCACGCTTTACCCTTTACTGCCAGCTATGATGTCAGATAGAGTCCTACTTGATTAAGCAATTGCTCTTCCTTCCTGTTTGACACTTTCAAGTGCTTCCACACCCAGAGGACAACCTCCGAAAAACTGCTTGCCGGTACCACCTCCACCTAAGAGATTTTTCATTTTAAAACTTATGAAAAAACACTGGTGAATTATGAACATCACATTTTTCTTTGCTGCATTGCTCTTACTGGATTTCTTCAGTTGCATTCATGCTTATCTGCAATATCCCTTGCCTGACATAGAAGATGCAAAGTTCATTGAAGATTGTGTGAGAGCTCACAACACATTTCGATCCAAAGTGAATCCGCCAGCCAGCAATATGTTTCGCATGGTAAGGTGGTGTTTGGGACCTTTTTGAAATTTTTATAGATTGGGCTGCTGATTTAGCCCAACTTATTCTTCATTTCTACTGTGATGTTCTTTCCACTTCAGTTAATGATTCCTGTAACATATATGTTGGGTCTTTGTATGAAATAGAAAATACATTAATTAGCACAGTATTGTTCAATTTTTAAAATTTGAAGGGAATTTCTTTTTTTAACACAAGATTTAGCTATTCTCAACTTCAGCCAGAGCAAAGGGCTGGATTGCAAAAAATAGTGTTCAGTTCTCAGTATGTCATTTACCTCTCTCTAAGAGAGATAGTAATCTGGTTTATATCAGGTCAGGTTTCATACATGGAAGCTGTTTGACTTTTTAAAAAGTTTCTGAGGAGGCAGTCAGCAACAGGATTTGTTGAAAATCCATCATCTCTTCTTGATTCTTCTAATCTAGAACATGTGTTGAATAAAGGGATTTTCCAGGACAGCCATGCCATTTAGATACCTGATCTTCATTTGCTGTAGCAGGGACAGTAATATCTAGGCTGAAAAGCAGAGCTTGCTACAAATACAGAGAATGTCAGAACAGGTTATGGGTAAGTCACATGTTGTTCAGTGGAATACATAAGGAAATATGTGTATAGCTAGCTGAGGGAGGTAACCCCAGCCAGTGCATGTCACTTCTCTGAGCCCTCCAGCAGCGCTGCATAGCTGGAAAGGAAGTTAAATGCATAACCACATGCAGAGTATGAATAATTTCTAGGAATGGAAACTCACAGTAAAGGAATGACATTCAGAGTACCAGTGACTTTAATTTGCTGCCATGTTAAAAACAATGTCTAATTTAAAAAAGCTAGTGCAAAAGAGTAAACTTACCTGCTCAGAACAAAGACCCAGCAATTCTGGAATAACAGCAAGACAAATATATTTAAATCTCTTGAATCAAAGGTGTACCAATCATGGTACTTACAAGCTCTTAATGGAATTTTTAAATTTTTTTTTTCAGCCTTGAGGTCATAAAAGTTTTCATAATTTCTATCATCTCATGGCAAAGGGCTGCAGAGACTAACCACAGGTTGTGTGAAGCTGTTTTATTGTGCTTGATTTGGGCCTGTTAATGCCTAGCTTCACTTAATATTGTCTGGTCTTTGTATTGGAAGACTCAAGTTGATGATTTTTATTTACCTATTTCACACAAGATGTCCAGGTGTCTCTGAAGCTGCAGAGCACTCTCTGTTGCTATATGAAAGCTCTCTGAACTTGAAGATGATCATCCTGCTCCAAGTTCTCTCTGGCCTTTCTAGTTCTAGTTTCCTGTGGTGGGGTGCTGTGCTGCACCCAGCATTTAACAGGACTTCTGCAGAAGTGTGATTAGATATGTGGTTTTATTCTCCATTCCTTTGCAAAGAGTTTCTAATGCTTTGTTTTCTTTTTAGTCTACTACTTTCAAGTGGTAATAGCCATCTCCAAACCTGTTATTAGAAACATGAACTCATTTTTTTTTCACATCCCTTAACTTGAATTTCCCTGCACTGAACTTTACCTGTCAACCTAAAATCTGCAAGTCTGCCAGACTGGTTTGTATGGAAGTGTTTCCTTCTCAGCCCAGCAGAGATGAGTGAGTCTTTCATTTGTTTTGTCCATCTTCTGAGGAAGGAAAAGAGAAAGGAGGCAGAAGGACCTGAGGAAGGGAGCAGCTGTGATTCTTCCTTCTGTCCTGGCCAGCAGAACAGAATTCCTATCTGGTCTGGTAATAATTGCCAAGTGCAAATCCCTGGACAGCCAACATCTCCTAGGCACAAAGTCCCCCAAGCCCCTCTACAGCTGCAAATTTCACACAGTTACCCCTTCCAGGTGTAGCAGCTTAAAGATTGCACTCCAGCTGTAAATATATTAACAAGTCAGATACAACAGGACAGTGGATAGATCGTGCATGGCCTGCAATAACTAAGGGAGAAAGAAGAAAATAAATTGTTATGGGAGTAGAAATGTCAAGTGAGAGAAAAACTGAAGGCAGGGATGGGAAGCAGAAAAGGGGAAATGAACTCGTTTAACAAGTTTCTGTTTAAAGATGTCTGAATTCAGCTAAGTCACTGCAGTGCAGGTTATAGTACGCTTTCTTCCTTTTCTACAGTCCTGGGATGCTGCTTTAGCTAAGAGTGCCAAAGCATGGGCAAAGAAGTGCAAGTTTAAGCACAATCCCTACCTTAAAATGCCAGGAAAAATGCACCCTACCTTTCGCTTTGTCGGAGAGAACATCTGGACTGGCACAGCCTACATCTTCTCCGTGGAGGCAGCCCTCAGGTCCTGGTTTAATGAAGTCAGCACCTATGATTTCAGCACCAACACATGTACTGACATGTGTGGTCACTACACTCAGGTGAGTCTCTCATGCCGAGTGCTTTATAGTCTAACATATAGTCTAATATATAGATATAGTCTAATTTCACTGAAAATCTGAGCACAGAATTGGAACAGATTGCTTTGGGACAGGAATTACAGCAGGGCTTTGCAGCCCACAGTTTATTGTTGTATGAGATTGGAAATAAATATGAGCCCCAGGGATCTCAAGTTCTACTTCCAGTAATGGTGGAAAGGGATTATCCCCTGGCAATTTCACATATAAAGGGTAGCCAGATAATAAGTGAAAAAATGGCTGTCAATCTGTCATTTGTCCCAGCTGCCCTTCAGGTGAAGTTGCTCCTGTGTCAGCTGATTTAAATTTCCCTGAACTATTTCCCTTCTTCTTCTTCTCTTCATGCTGTTGCTTTAGCAGTATTTGAAGTGCATTTTGTACTTCCCTTTGTCCTGCAGGTGGTCTGGGCAGAGAGCTACAAAGTTGGCTGTGCAGTTCATTTCTGCAGTACAGTTGAAAATTTTCCAGGACTATTCAAAGCAGCACATTTTGTTTGTGACTATGGGCCAGCGTAAGTTGATTGTGGCATTTGAGTTTTGTTTAGTTTGGTTTTTTTTTCTTTAAATATCCCAACATATTTGATCAGATGCCAACAATGATGGGTGCAGTTTTAACAAATTTCAAAATAAGCTACATCCTCATGTCACTTATCCAAGGGAAACTTCCCCTGACCATTGGGAACAGAACCTACTGGACATAGCTGGGACTGCAGAAAATCCCATTCTAAAAAAAGCAGAAGAGCCGATCATAGCTGACACCACTCACCATAATGCAGATGGTTGAAGAAAATATGTTATGACTTCAGTCTCTGCAGGAAAATTGGGAAAGATGTAATCTTTCTGCTTCAGAAAGATTACATCTTTCTCTGGCCCTATACAAATTTCAAACAAGACATTGCAATTTAAGAAGTAAAAGGAAGACAGTCCCCTAGTTGATCTGGTACCTTGCAGTATTTTTACTTACTTTTTACAGGTTTGTTTTTTATAATCAGATGGGTAATGATGGGCTAGAGTCAAATTCTTGTATGCTTACAATAAAACAGTATTGCCTGAGAAGTCTCATTAGTTTCCAGCAGCAGGAGTCAACTGCTCCCCATGCCAGTGAGAGCTCTAATGTGATTTAAAAGGAATTTCAAACAATTGCAATGACCAGTTTTTTGATTAGGGTATTCCCTCCCCTTGACAGCTTTTCAATGACAGCTAAAAAAATACTGTTCCTGTTTTGCAGGGGGAATTACCCAAGAAAACCATATAAAGAAGGACAACCATGCAGTAGATGCAGTAACGAGAAGTGTGTAGACAGGCTCTGTGGTAAGACCAAAGTGATCATGTGAGAAAATTGCACAGAAACAAAAGTGGCATAAATAGCAGTGGAAAGACAACAATGAGTCAATTTGCACTAAGCACATAGTGGGTCTGTAGCTCACCATACAACAACAGTACCAAACTCTGGGAGGAATACTGTAAGAAGGAAATCATTGAAATAATTTGCATTTGAAAGCTCTCAGAGGAAGAAGCCAGAGTTTCTGATGCAGGGAAGTACCAGTTAGACTATTTTCTCCCTTTTATCTGGTCAGTAAGTCAAATCCAAAATTTTAGCCCCAAGAAATATTCACTAATTCTTCTCTCTCAGCAGAAACAGGAAATCTTCTGCTTTTTTGCTTGATAGTGTGTCCTAACACATTTTCCAGACAACTGCATTTCAGAGCTAATAATAAGACTGTACCAAAAACCACAGTTATTTCTAACTTCCACAGTTTTCTGAAAAACAGCAGTAAGAGCTTGTTTGTAAATCTTTCTCCTACTATGCTCAGTGTTATCAGAGTGCTGGTGGAAAATAATTAAATGAACAGTTGTAACAGAGCGTGGAAGGCTCAGGGGATGAGGGGATTTTAGTCAAATCTCGAGGAGCAATTAATAAAGGACTGGTAACCCCTTTGGAGCAGGCCTGTGGCAGCTGTGGGATCTTTGGCCAGTGCTGGAAGCCAGTGCAGAGCTGAGCCAGCACAGCCCATTCTCAAGCCCTGCACAGATGCAACAAAGAAAGGAGTGTGGTTGGAGCAAAAACCTCTCTGGGGAGGAGGTGTTCCCTGCAAACATGCTGCCTGGGTCTGAGAGAGAAGTGGGTGATGGTGAGGGGCTCAGCCTGCTCCCTCCTCCTTGCCTCCCCTCTAATGAGGCAGAGTGACTCTGTGCTGGGTCTGTCTCTGTGTCAGGGTGTGGGCGCAGCAGGGAAGCACACAGCCCGTACCCCATCACTGAGTCTGCTCCAAACAGCAGTGGACCTTGAAGTCAATTCACCTTTATGTCAATTCACCTTATTAAAATCATTGCCTAGTTTGGGACTTAGTAATTAAAGGAGATGCAGCAATATCTTAAATCAAATATGAATTTTATACAGAGGTTTAATGGGGATGGTTTTTACTAGCCAGGCTCTAGACAGATTCAGCTGTAGAAATTATTGAGCATTTGGTGCTCTTATTTCCTACTGTAATATCCTGGCTGACTCATCTGAAAGTCTCAGACTGACACATCACAGGAAAACTAGAAATATCTCAATGACTAGGGGGAACAGGGACAGGAGGAACAGAGAATTTTAAAGTCAAGTGCTAGATCCTACCGCTTGCATTTACCATTTTCTCCTATAGAGCAAATGAGGAATTTCAATAGGATGCACATAGGCAATCCTGCAAATGCATCAAAATTTTAGTAAAGGCATAATTCTGTGATAAATAAGTAGTTATATTTGTCTGTCTATAACTACTTAAATTTGATATATATAACTATTTTAAATAAATTCCATGTTTTGTTATTTTTTATTCCCTCATCTCCATAACACAAATGCTTCCTGATACAGATGTTTTTTTCTGTTTCTTTTACAATTCAATATAAAATATGAACTCCACACCAGTCAGGAGCCTGCTCTTGCTGGCCTGCTTCCCCCTTGCAGGATGTTCTAGGCATTAAGTGGCATCATCAGTGCAAAGGCTTGCCTCTTTACATCAAGAACCACCATTCCATGGTACTCACATTACTTCCTTCTTCTGATCTCTTTGCAGAAAATAAAGAACGTGAGAAGCTGATAAGTACGTATCAAATTGTTCTTGGCTTTCCTGTAAGTATGGCTAAGACTAGGTCTTAACACCTGTTTCTTCACTGCCTTTTAGGTTATGCCAGCTGGTATCCAGACTGGGATACACAGCCCCAGCCACCGCAGCCCCGTCCCCCCAGGCCTCCCCTGCCATCACACGTCCCACCTGCTGAGCATCCACGACCCTCTTGTGACCAATACTGCCTTAGTGTTTTAATTTTAAGGCCACTGTTTCTTGTATTGAGTGTTGGTGCTGTACTTCTAGTACAACAGCAATTTCCACACACTTTTTTTTTATAAGTAATGGTAAATTAAGAGACTGATTGTGATCCTACTGCTGTATTATTCTCACACATTGGGCACGTGTTTAAATAAAAAACACATTTGATCATCTTTCATTATCCCTGCAATCCAGCATGGGAAAGGGTGCTTCTTTACTCAAGGCAAGATAAAAATGGCTGTGCATAGAAGTAATATAATTTATTGGCGGTAGCTGCAACATGGTCCTATGTCTGTATGAGGCTCTTAGCACTAGGGACCACAGAGACTAGATATTCCTCCATGTGCTAACAATCCTCCTGGAAGCCTGGGGCATCACAAAGACATGTCTGCAGTGGCACACTATATCCGAAAGAAGCAGTAATTCATCTTCATTAACCTTCAGTTATCTCAGACACAATTTCCCCCCAGTAATGGAGATTTAACTGTATAAATTACTTTTTATTAACAAGAGTAAAGCTTGCCCTTTGCTTTATTTAGCCTATGTGTTTCAGTGTCCATTACTCTATTGTCAGTTGTACTAGTCCATTCTTGTCCTCTCAGGATTAATCCTTGTTCTCCTTAAGAAGAAGAAGAATACAAGGGAAAGTTGCCAGAGTAAGGATTAAGGTGGGGTGTCAATGGGGAAACTTTAATTTTAGGATGTGAGATAGTGAAAATATCTAAAATGAGAGTAGATGACAGCCATCGTGACTTTTCAGGTAGCAGGAAACAGACAGAAGATGAAATGGGCCCAGGACAGATTCTGGTTTAAGAATGGAACATCTCCGCCTCATTTAAAAAGCCCAAGCCTCTGATGGATTCAGTTTGTTTTAATAGACATTTAGCCCTCAACCTGACCCCCACTCTTCCAGTATAAGTTTGTTAGTGAGTGGAATCTTTCAAGCCAGGAGATACTGACTGATATTAGCAATGCATAACTGTGCTATCAGTATTTAAAGCTGTTTTTTGCTCTTTTGTCTTTGTTCTAATGTTTTAAGAACACAGACTCAAATTCTGAGCCACATTGCAGCATGCCATCCCACAGAATAAAAATGGGCCCCAACTGAGGCTCTTGTTAATAGATCCCTTGGGGTGGATTAGAGTGAAATGACACTGAATGACCAGTAAATAAATAGATAAATAAATAAATGTGGATTAGAGTGAAATGACACTGAATGACCAGTAAATAAATAGATAAATAAACAAATGTGGATTAGATTGAAATGACACTGAATGACTAGTATATAAATTAAATAAATAAACAAATAAGGCAGCTTTATTTTATAACAGTTTGGTTGTAGTGGAAAGGAAGAAAACATATTAGGAAAAGAAAGAGAAAAAGCAACAGTGGTAACAGCATCTAGTTTCACCAAAAGAAGAAAATTTATCCAAAACTTTTCTGCAATACATAGTGATTGCTATGAATAGAATTACAGGGGCCAAACAAATAGTAACAAAGAAACCTAAAGGGCAGGAGAGACATTTGCCCACCACAATTAAAGAAAGAAGAAAAAAAGAAAGGGACAAGGCTGCTACAGCTCTAATGTGATCTTGTAGTTCAATTTCCTTATTCTCATAGTAGTGTTTTTGAAATATGACTCGTTTCCTGTGACTAGCTTTGTATTCAATTACCATGGCTAAGGTAAGTCCAGCCCACAAATCTTCCGAGCAAAATGCTGCTGGTTGAGCTAAAACCACTTCGTTCAGCTGAAACAGTCTGCTTTTAAAGCTCAAAGACCAGACGTTGAGAAGCGTGACTGCAAGGAAAGGACTAATGACATTTGCAGTGCATGCCTTAAGCAAGTGCTCGGTGACGGAACTGGTTGAAGAAAACTTCCTTGATGCCTGTGCACAAACCGCAGAGATGAACAGACTTTGGGCGCCGGCCCTGCGGGGGCAGGACCGACACCGATGCTTTTTCCCGGCGGCGTTCCATTGCAGTGTGTTGTACAGAGAGCGAGTAGCAGCACAAGCACAGGCGGCGGGCTCTCCAAAGGACACCGGACTTTGTGGGGTTCGCCCCGTCCGGCCCGCAGCAGCCGCGGCCCGCGCCCCGCCACCCCCGGCGTACGCAGCGGCCGCGCTGAGGGCCAGGCCACGCCCAGCCGCCCTCAGGCTCACGAGGGCTCTATAAATACCGGCAACCGGGCACAGGGCCTGCCGGCTTTCAGCACCACAGCTCGGGACGTCCAGGGATGCCCTTAGATCCGCCGTGGTGACTTTCTGCTTGCACCATCTCTCTCCTTCTCCCTTTCTCAATGACAGGCAGATTTTCTACCTGTGCGCTGGCTTTACTACTCTTTTGTTGTTCCTCTGATTCTTTTGATCCGTCGAAATTGCCTGATCCTCGGGATCCTGAGTTTATTAAGCTATGTGTGGAAACCCACAACACATTGCGGTCCAGAGTGGATCCACCAGCCAGCAACATGCTCTGGATGGTAAGGGAATCTTCATGGCTTACATACAAATTTGTAGCATTGTGATGCTGTTTATGATTCTCAAAGATTGCTTCTGTTATCAAATGCAAAAAATCAGAAAACAACCCCAAAAAACCTGGGGTCATAAGACTGACCGCTTTTCAAAGCAGAGAAGAAGGCTGTAATTGTCGGGTGGGATATGTGCAGTTTAGGGGTGACTGCAGTTCCTCCCCCGCAGCCGCAGCTGCCCGCCCTCGGCCCAGCGGGGCTGCTGTGCTGGGTTGTGTGAGGAGCCTCTGGTTGCGAGGCGCCACGCGCAGCTCGGCAGCCGGGGCTGCGAGGTTTGTGCTCCTCTGAGCACAGCTTTGCTGCTCCAGTCGGCGAGGGCAAATCCTGTTGTCAAACAGCGCCGGAGAGCTTTCCCTGGGCATTCCCTGCAGGGCTCTCACCCTGAGCCAGCAGGGCGGCAGCTCCGTGGGGCTGGGCCTGCAGGGAAAGCCAGAAAGCACCGAGTTCATTTTCCGTGTCTGGTTGTCAGACACTAAAAGGTAAGTGCCCCACTTAGGAGGTGTAACCGCACAGTAATAAAACTTGAATTGCAAACATGACAGGAAACATATTTAGTTTCGCTTCTAGATGCATCTTTTAGATCAGCTCTCCTCAGCTGTGCATCCTGGCCTTCAGAACATGTTCCTTGGCTCCTTAGACTCTGTATTTTCTACATTGCTTTACTGGCCCTAAACAAACAAAATATTGTTAGGATGTGTTAAAAGTGCAGTGTTTATTTTTAAATTGTGCTTAATTTCTTCTTTTGAAAAAGTAAAGAACTGAAATCTAAAAAAAAAAAAAAGGAAGCATAAGAAACAGACAAATAAAGTGGATCTAAACCAGAAACTGAATCACAGCAAGTTTCTTTGAAAATACTACAAAATCCCTAGTCTTAAATATGACCTCTTTCAGGAGCTATTTAATGTGGAGATAGCAGTGCAATACATGATAAAATCTATTACAAAACTAACAGCATTAGAACTGAAAAGAATATTTTGAGTGGCCTTTTGCACTTCCAAAAGGCAGAAAATAAAATGGTGCTTTTATTTCACAAGGAGCTTCTTTTTTGCTGGAAGTAATTGTCCACCTAGATATGTAAAAATTAAGATTGAATTCAGGGCATTCTCATAATTGCAAAAGTAGTTTTTAAAAGAAAATGCAAAATAGAAACTCTTTTAATTGCAAGTAACAAAGCTCAACCACTGGCATTTGTAATACATGTATTATAAAATGAGAACGTTGAGCTAAAATTTTTTTACGTGACAAATGTGAGCCCTTTCTCATCCACCCAAAGCACTACTTAGTTCTGTTCTAAGGTTCCTCAAAAACAGCAGTCTCACCAGTTTCATCAGGGCTTCATAACAGTCTCCTTTGAATTAGTACTGCCTTACATAATTTTTCACATATTATGCATTAAATTTTTCCTCCTTAAGTCAGCAAGCAACTTGTTATAAAATGAAAACTGGGAAGCAGTTAATGAGGGGGAAAAATGGTAAGTATTGCTTCCTTAAACAGCAGTGATATCTATATGCAAATCTCCCTGTCCTGTGCATTTTCTTTGCATGCCATTCAGTCCAATCTTTCTGTTTAAGTGCAGTATTATAAGCAAATATGGAGTGTAACTACAGTTAAACCAAAAATCATTGTGAACATTTCTGTACACTGCTTTTCATCTGTCAGCCAGATCAAGTATTCACACAAAATGGAAAGTATATTTAAACTTACTATGCAACTTTAAACTTAGTATTATTCATACCTTTATCAAAGTTTAAACCTATTGCTACTATAGGATGAGGGGAGGAGTTGCATGGACTCTTAAAAAGCAGAATGTGAAAAAAAGAGACCATGAAATGCAAAGGTGCATCCCCCACTGTTGTACTTCTTTCATGATGGTCTTCTCAGATGCCTTGACAAGATGTGAAATGAAGCTTCTGTCTTAACTGTCTGAGTTATCTTCCAGGACTGGAAGACAAGTTCTGTACAATGCCAGATTTTATCCATTGTCCTGAAAAAGTATCTAAGGAAGTACCAACTGCTTGTTTGAAATAAGACTCCCTGCCCCAAATTTCATACTTGATGTACTGAGATCCTATCTAAATTATTTATGTCCTAGTTTTGTGGGTGTATTTGGTTTGCACAAACAGGTTTTGAAAGCAGAGAGGTCATACTGGGGTGGCTTCTCTGAGAGGCTGCCAGAAGCTTCCTGAATGTCCCACAGAGCCATTTCCCGCTGCTGGCCAAGGCCAAATCCTTCAGCCACAGTGGCAGTGCCTCTAGGATATGTCATTCAAGATGGGGAAAGGCTGTGCACAAGCAATTGCAGCCAGAGAAGAGTAAGACCATGTGAAAGGAGCAGCTCTGCAGACACCAAGGTCAGGGCAGAAAGGGTGGGAGGAAGCGCTCCAGGCACTGGAGCAGAGATTGCCCTGCAGCCCGTGGTGCGGCCCAGGGTAAGGCAGGATGGGACCCTGCAGCCCATGGAGGAGCAGAGATCCACCTGCAGCCTGGGGAGGGCCCACACTGGGGCAGGTGGAGGCCTGAAGGGGGCTGTGACCCTCTGGGAAACCTGTGCTG